AGGCCGATTCCTACCGACACTACTGGGCTAATAACTTGCTTTACTAAGAGAAGGCTATGAGCAGTATCATCGTACAATCGAAACATGGTTGAAGTCTTCTTCTTGGGGAAAAAAGAGAAGAAGGGAAGAGAGAAGATGGCAGTTTCTCCCCAGACACTTGGTTACACCCGATCTGGTTACACCCGAACTCGGTAAGGATGCGCAAGGTAGACACTTGCTCTCAAGGCCAGGAACAGGGCAAGATGTGGCACGGAATCCCTCGACCATAGGGCTCGTGTTCATGCCGCACCGGTGAGGGATCACGTTTTGCCAGCTGAGAGTAGCCTCCAGCAGTGTGAAGGGTAGCGAAATGTCCATCGTATTTTCTTGAGGATTTCGATGTTGGAAGAGGTGAGGAATTGGGGGGACTTGGAAAAGTTGAGCACTAAAGTTGGACGGTTTTGTATTTGAGATAGTGGGGGGGCGGGCTGGATCGTGCTGTACGAACTGGTCGTAAAATGTCCAACGCTGATTTTGAAAGGCACCTACGAATGATATCGTGGCAATCCGGTAGGGAGTAGAGAAGAAATAAGCTTGCTCGCTGGTGGGTTTTCCATCAGTAGTGGCACCTTTAGACAGTGCAGCTAGTGTCCAGAGCACGTCACGCTCCTGACACCGCCTTGTCGCCTATGCAACGATTCAACTACATAACTGGGTACTGTATTGATCTTGGTTTACATAAAGGATAAAGTCTTCGCCGTTGATCAATCCCTTTGTGGGATGCGGCACGCATTCTACTTCCATTCAGAATCGTAGTGGCTTATTGAATGCGATGTGGCCTATACAATGACTTGCGGTGGCCAGCCGATGTACAAGTCAGTGTTTTATCCTCCCAGACGAATCTGGTACCAATTTACCGTCCCCGGAGGGTAGAAGACTTGTTGGCCTGGGCGGAGAGTCGACCCGGCATTTGTCGGCAGCAGATTCTTCGCGAGATGGTTGAGGGTGCCACTTGACACTACACCTGTCCTCAGCGACCTCAGGGTTTACGGAATGTGAACAATCCGAACTGAAGCTTATTTCATCAGCTTTAATTGAGTTGAGAATTACCGTTTCAGATCGAGGTGCGGCAGCTGTTTCCAAACCCGGGATGGGTGGAAATGGATCCTACTGAGATCATTGAAACAGTCAAAGAATGCATAGTTAAAGTTGTCGAGAAGCTTGAACGCCTCGGCATTTCGGCCGATGAGATCAAATCCATCGGTATAGCTAATCAACGAGGTCAGTACCTTTTTAATAACGACTAACAAGAACCTGAAAATCAGCCCGTGGTTAGAACAGGACCTGCTTACGCTTGGATATCCCAAAATTTGAACTCGCAAAAAGTAGGCCGATTGCGTGGGCGGAGAAAGTCAGCCATTCTGCTATCCTCCTTAGCGAGCGCATTCTCTTCACTCCCTCAGAAGGAGGGATCACCATCGAGGAAGGCATGTTGACTGTCTACCGAATGCGCCTTTGAGATCCCCAATGTCTTCTGAGAGATCCCTAGTGTCTTCACTGCCCCTCCGTTAGTTCCGTCGCTCGTGCTGCCTGGACGATTTCTCTTTGCCGGCTCTAAAAAATGGGAAATTTCGAACCCATTATTTGGCAAAGTTTTCAATCGTCATCTTTTCCAGAAACTACCGTAGTTTGGGATAAAGAAACGGGAGAACCGCTGCACAATGCAATCGTGTGGTTGGACAATCGAACATCAGATCTTGCCGAAGAAAGCATTGCAAGAACTAACTCCAAGTACGGTAGCAACCTCTCTAAGGACTACGGTAACTTGAACACTATTATTTACAAAGTGCTTTTCAGGTCCAAGGACGAGTTCAAAGAGAAGACCGGTTTGCCAATCCATCCGTACTTCAGTGCCCTGAAGTTACGGTGGTTAATGCAGAATGTTGACGCTGTTAGACAAGCCCAGGAGAATGGTAAGTTATTCATCGCGATGGGTTTGGGGTCATATTCAGGACAGAGTTCACTGGAATTTGTGAAGTGATCAGCGGCGATGAGTTGATTGCACTAAAGCGCACAGTGGTTGCCCGAAAGTATAGTGTTCGAATTAGAAATGGTGTCGGTCGGGAGATCCATATTGCGGCGATACGCCCAGGTTACAGTCTTGATGGCTGCGGATGCCGGGGCGTGTCAGGGGCTGAATTTGACGCTGCCCGAGCCCGTTTTCCACCAGTTCTAGTCGCTTGCCTGCCTCAACAATTGGTGGAGAACGGGCACCAAACATAGTCCCATGAAGTGAACTATCATTCACAGCGAACAAGACTGTGATCACGATTTCCTAGAAGTGACAGCGGTTTACTGTATCTTTTCTGCTTCAAAGCAGTGAGGGCCGCGGTTGTCGCCAACATTATTGGTAGAAGTGCTGTATGGGATGTGGCCAAACGCCCTCTCAAAGCCCTTCCACCAATGACGTTGGGAACGACAGCCAGCCTTCAGCAATCGTGCTAACTGTATTAAAATCAATTAGCTCCTGTGCGAATGCCGCGAACGTCATTTTTTTGTTTTCGCTCTCTTCGCACGCCGCGATGTGGATCTCCCAACCGGCAAGCGAAATCAAGAATTCCCTTACATGCTTTCATCGTTTTTAGGCCGATTGCTCTTTGGAACCGTCGATACTTGGCTTATTTGGAAGCTGACCGGACGGCACGTCACAGATGTGTCCAACGCCTCCAGAACCCTTCTACTAGGTAATTATTCTATGACTATTTGCATGTAACTCTGATAGGGAGCTTTCTTCTGGTCCTCCTAAGCACTTTTTCTCTGATGCGCCCCTTTCAGATCTGCACAAGCGCAAGTGGTCATCGCAGCTCTGTAATTTCTTCGAGATCCCTTCTGATATCCTACCAGAGATAAAATCTAGCGCGGAGGTTTACGGCACTATCACTGAAGGTACTTGCTCTTAAATTCATCAAGCACAATACGAAAGAAAGAAAGGTTAAACCAGCGGCTGAACTTCCTTTTAAGGTCCTTTACAAGGCTTCCCTATTGCTGGCTGCTTGGGCGACCAACAAGCCGCACTGGTTGGTCACAACTGTTTGAAGAAAGGAGACACGAAGAATACCTATGGAACGGGCACATTCATGCTGACCAACATAGGTAAGAACACACTGCACTATTCCGCTTAAAGGCACGTTCTGCCATCAAAGTGGTGGGTAGTGGGGCTCATGGTCAGATGCCAATGATAAAGCAGGACTCAGTAGTGGAGAAAAAAAAACCAGAAAAGTACCTTCCGAAATGCCCCAGATAGGAGGCTTTGTTGACCGGTGCGAGCAAACTGCGAATAGAGGACGCGATTGGACGAGTTTTCCTTCGTAGATAGCAGCTCTTTTCTTATCCCGCCTCTCTCCTTGTGATGGAAAAAGCCAGTAGGAAATGAAAAAAGCTAGTCGCGGAACAAGTGTACCATTAGAAACCCTTTCAGAGAAACCTAGTGTAGAGGCACTGCCATCGCCATTATCATTAAGTCCCACCCTTACCTTATCCCTTGAGAACTTTTGCCGTATATGAGGTATTTGCAGGTACGGAAGTCACCATCAGCAAGAACGGCCTGCTAACGACAGTTGGTTTCCAGGTTAGTAGTTTAACTGTGATCAGTTCTGCTCCCTAGATTACAATCTTTGATTAGAAAAGAGCTTGGAAATGGGCAACAAAAGACGAAAGTGAAGACCGCTTCCGTCCAACATCACGCGGACAATTTAGGACTCCTGCAGTGAATTATTTCAAATCACAGTTCACTGGAGGGTACTTTTGAGTGGAGTCAGACCTACCATTGTGGTTTGCTCTTTATCGTCTTATTGAAGGCACGGTCCTAACAAGCCTAGGTGATGTTGCAGAAATGTGGAAGAAAGTTGCCAAGTGAACCATCTAAGAAAATGCCGAAGGGAACGTTGGAAACGCATTCGTCAGGCCTCCTCTAGCCTCAAACAACTGTAGAGGTAAAAGACCGAAAAGACCGTGCGCTGGGCAATTCCCGTCGGCTGATTCCCAGTAATGAACCCTATGACTCTACAAGAGACAAAAATGCATCCACTCCATGATACTTGCCCGGGAGCATTACTTTTGGCTGGAAGGCCGACTTTGGAGGCGGAGTCTGGAGGCGGAGTCACTGGAAAAAGGGATGTACCACTGAAGCAACTTTGCGCCTTAATTCCTTTACCGTACAACTTTCCGCCGCGAAACTGGCACAGGGTTGTCCACTGCGGACCGCACTACCTTCCCACATAACCTCTTGCATTTTCATACGTCATCGCGGACCGTTCCTTTAAGAGGAATGCGCTGAAGAGGAAGACACAATGGTTGGTACTCCGCCTATATGACATGGAGTATGTCTCAAACCTCATTATTTCTTGGTTTGAGTGGGCGCTCTTCCCCTTCACACAGGACATTTACTCTTCCCTTTCGTTAAGACGTGTTCTCTTAGCCTATTTTTAGTGGATTCTCAAAAAATTCTCGCCTAGGACCGTATTGTAGACCTCAGGACTTTTCACATTTTACTATAATCACCCTGTTTCAGTTCGGTGCCGATTCGCCAGTCGTGTATGCGTTGGAGGGTTCGGGTTCAATCGGAGGAAATGTTGTCCGTTTCCTGCGCGACAATTTCAATTTCATCAAGGTCCGTTGAATATTTTACAAATTCTACTTTTCAGCTTTTTGAATCCGCCAGCCCGTCGTTTGGGCAAAGCCCGGCCTACCCTTGTGCTGTGCCTTCGCAGTGGTGTGCCCCTCCTTCCGAAAGTGGCAAAGGCGAGGGGCGCGTCAATGGGAAGCGCAGTTGCTGGGCTCTCCTCAGCTTACGAAGAGGGTGAACTTAACCTCAAGGTTCATTTCTTCAGGACGCTTCCGAAATGGAACCGCTCTGCCGGTCAGTGGAGACCACAGAGGGAGTCATATTCGTGCCATGTTTTACCGGTCTGTACACTCCTTACTGGGATCCAACGGCACGGGGAACCATCCTTGGCCTTACACAGGTAATGGATTTTGCCCCTTTACTGGAGAATGATTTCCTCGATATGGTAATGCTCAGGTGACATCTCGTGCTCACATTTGCCTTGCTGCCCTTCGAGCAGTTGCATACCAAAGTGCCGAGATGATCAAAGCAGTGGAACAGGACCTTGGCGACAGCAACTTGGTCAAGGCCCTCAAGGTAGGTGTCAGCCAAAGTCGAATTTATCGCAATCAAAGTGAGTCAATCGCAACTTTCAGACTGACGGAGGTATGACTGCCAACGTGCTTTTCAACGAAATCCAAGCGGAAATCATTGGAAAAGAAATCAAAACCCCGAAAGTCACTGAAATCTCCGGTTGGGGAGCGGCTGTTGCGGGAGGCATCGGTGCCCAACAGATCAGCCTTGACGAATTTGCTGCTCGAGAACCACCGGTATGAATAATTCTTATAGCATGATATTTTTGGTGTAAATTTTCGGTGTTTACAGGCTACTACCTACGTGCCACATTCGGATGAGGAACGACGAGCAGCCGATTTGGACCGATGGAGAGATGCTGTGAACAGGGCACGTGGCTGGGCTCAAGCAGCGAAATAAACGGCGCTCTTTGCAAGGCTCTAGGTTTTCCCAAATGTGAATATCGCAAACTAGTTACGAGTATCCCATCATTTCAATCACTTTACCTCTTTTCATAGCTGTACATATAAATGCCTCTATAAAGTTACATTTCTGTGAAATAAAAGTGCATATTTCATTCGAAAGCGAACACATCACACTGCGAGAATGTTGAGAGTTGGACAGGAATAGAGCGGTTATTTTCCTTGAGAATGCTCATCCCTTTCAATAGGAGACGAGCTGACCATTATGAGTAGCTCATGGGTACGATCACTTTCTCCTGGGCAGTTTGAAGTCAAACTCCCGTGACTGCATATTGTGGAAATGTGGCGTTTGAGTTAAAACATATAGTCGCTAGATGACTTTCCAAGGGAGAAAAAAGCAAAAAAATATGGAGAACACCCTAAGTAAGGACCTGGCAACCTCTCTGGACGAGTTTTGCTTGCTTAGTTGAGTCGACCAGCTCGTTTTATGCCAGCAATGCGATATTAGTCCCCAAATCATTTCTTTGGGTCATACAAGGCTAATGCCATCCGGCAGGGAACAAACGAAAAATTTTTCGTAAACTCTGAACTCGTGACAGAAATGCCTTTGAATCTAGATGGGCGGGACAACTAGAGAGGAGTCAGAACTGCCACTTATGAAGGACGCTTATTTTGTGGCTTACTGTACAGCTGCAGATGTGGGACAGTCTTAGAGACTGGGAACAGACTACCTTGTTCCAGAAGGACGTGTTGTCTGTGTTTTAGATGTTACCACCATTTGGAAGCTCTTAGGTAATAACCGGTGAAAGAGCGCGTTCCAGTACCATGCCCATAACTCTTCAGAGGTAGTCGTTATTTCACTAACTCTTTATTCAGAAAAAGGAGGAGGTCGCATTGGCACTCACTTACAGGAGAGGGGATCGTACCAAATGGCCAATTTTCTTCAACGTGGTGCTCGACCGTGCTGCTTTTTCTACCAGTGCGTATATGGGTCTAAGGCTGCGTTCATGCTTTGCGTGTCTACCATCAACCTGCAGCGTCTGTCAGAGTCAGCGAATAGGAAAGTATAGATATCGATCTAGTGACCATCAGCGTCTACCAGCGTTTAACGACCAGAAGCTGCCAGGAGTGGAGAGTATGGGGCGATACGAGGGTGAGGAGTCGATAGTGTCACTCCGATGACCGCAGAAATTAATAAGACTTTATACAAACATATTATAACATAATATTATTCAACTTTCTTGTTGTTATTTACATCCAACCATTGTCTTGCATATCGTGTCAAGTCGTTAATACCCGTATGTCGAGTTAGCTGAAATGACGATAAGGTGACAAAAAGTAGCGAAAAAAATAACTGTGAAAAAGTACGAAATCAGAAATTTTTGGTCAAAAGCGCCGAAGCAGTATTTTGCTCAATGATCTCTTGGAAGACCGGAAAACGAAAAAACGATTCTGTTCAGAAGGTTAGCTATGGGTTCCTTTTAGAGAAAAGCAAAAAACGTCTTTTGAACACGTCGGCTTCAAGGGAGATTCAGTTCTAAATACAGTGGCTCTTTCCTTCACTTCGAGTCGTAGAATGGGCTCAGCCTCTGTGCTTGGGACCAGTCTACCTTACCCACGGGAGGATTGCTCCACTGAGGTAAGCCTTCATGTGATTTTAGGTTAGACTTTAGTTGTTCCTTTATTCTCGAGGTCACGAGATAAGAC